CCAGAAAAAAATAAAGACAAGGGTCAGCGGAATACTGATAGTCAGCAAGAATGTTTTAAGTTTATTCTCATAACCACTGCCCCAGAAACCATATACAGTATATCAAAGATATATCACTGTTTATATTTTCTACCTTATACTGTTTTCTTTGACTATTGTGCAATTGTTAGAAAAAAAACTCATAACTCACAAGATGAAAGTCACAATTCTTTTTAATAAAGGGCTTTAAATTGCTCACTCACAGTTTAAGTTCCAAATTTTCGGCCTCTCCTTTGGTTCCGTACAGCGAAAGTGTGATTGAAGGCTCCATCTCTGAGCGATGCACTTTGCTAGTGAAGTGAATCTTCAGCTGATAGTGGTAAACTGTAAACCAGAGCAACAACATGCATCATTTAGGAAACTTGGGCTATTGTAATAAAGCTGTTGCACTTTAGATTTATTTGATGTGTTTAAAGCAACAAAAAGTTTGATCTCTGAAAGCCTTTAAAAGCTGGTCATTTTCTATGTTTCTGTTATTGTCAACAAATGGCATCATCAGCATTACACAGGGTCTGAAGGGGAAAAGTGAATAATGATGTGCACACGATTTTCTAGTGCTAACTTTGAGCAAGTACAAGGCAAAAAAACCCACAGGGACTGCTTACAATACAAAGTACTCTATATTCATGAGCACGAGCAGGAACTACTCGCTAGACTCTGTAAAAGTCATTGCCATTATGAGTTTGTGGAGCTGTTTGCCCATTTTTTCACAGTAAAGTAACAGGTCATCCAGTGCAGTGGTGTGGCTTACTGATGTGCTTTTAAGAGTTTTTGGACAACAATGGGTCTGACAAATAAGTTAAATACAGTTTTAGATACACTGACAATACTTGTTAGTCAGATAGGTTTTTAGCGGACTCTGGCCTTTCCATGGGATTTGTGACTAAATAAACAAACTATAGAAACTTGCCAGCCTTATCCTTTAATTCCTTTTTAATCACTCTAAGTAGTAAAATAGTTCCCACAAGATAAAATATCCACTAGAAAAATGAAAACCAACAACACTTTAGTTCTTCTGATGCTAAAGTCCACCGACCTCTAAAAGGCATGGAGGGTCGCGTCTTGGTGTACATCTGAACACTGCGTGCTTTGCGGATCTTGGTGATGTTGTATCCCACCGTATTGCAGCGGCTTTTGCGGCAGCTGAGACACATGCCACGGTCGAACATAGCGTTGCTACTGCATCTGTAGGCCTTGGCCGCTTCTTGCTCGTTCAGCAGAGAGTCGATGAACAGGTGGACCGAGCGCTCGTGCTGACATTTCACTGCATCAGTGATAGCTGAGGAGAAAAGGATATGGATATTTAATTAAACATATACACACCACTTGTTCCATTTCTATCCATTTGATGACCACACTCTAGATACATTTACTCTACCTGTCAGCCTTTTCAGCCACAAAGCCTGATATTGCAGCTGACCTTGTTCAAAGACTTTCCTCAGCCATGTTTGGTGCAACCAGTAATAATGTTACTGCTATGACACATTAACAACAAGCAGCTCCAGTGTTATTACGCTGCTGGA